ACGTACCCTGTACTGAATGACACTAAAAGTTCGAGGATTCCTCATGAAGATTCTTTGGTACAGTTTTGCGTTATAGTTTCATGGGGCCCAGGCAAATTTGTATTAGGGGCCCCATGTATAATGTTGAATTTAGACATTTTTCTTTGGGGATTGTTTTGGGGTTTCCTGTTAATGAAGCCAGGCAATTGCCCATCTTATCCATAAGATAACTGCTTTGAATCCATATTTGATGATCCAAGTTTCTTTCTCTGCTCGCTTTAGAGTGACATAGAAGCATAGAAAATGTTTTATTAAGTAAATCCTACCCTTATGTTATAAAATTATGCTTTAGAATAACCTACGTAACATAGTATTTTATGTAAGTTATTCTAAAGAATTATTCTAAAGCATAAACTGTACTTACTCTATTAAGGGAAATGCAGTAATACTAGTAGCACTTACCTTATACAAAATTTTAACATTTTCGCCTTATACGAGCAAAATTTTTAATAGAATCAACTTATTTTTAAAAAATATTACATGAAACCGATATTATTATAAATATTAATATTATTAATAAAGTATTTAATCGGAAAAGCAGTCAATCATAGTTTATCTCCTTGATTTTCTTGTAAGATGTCCTTCATCTCTCATTGTTTTTTTTCTTTATTGTAGACTAAGTTTTTATTATTTTTGTCTATCATGTAATAGAAACTATTTATCAGAATTCTTTCAAAATTTTATAGCTTTATTTTATAAAAATTGATCAAGAGGAAAAGAATTATAGAAAAAACTTGATCTCGAAGTTATCACAGAGATGAAAAATGGTTTTGTATTCGGCAGAATCATCAGGAAACTTAAGAACATTTGTAGCATTAAAGGAAATTAAATAATTAACATAAAAGCATTTTAGGAAAGATGTTTAAATTTTCATTTAGTTTTTTTATGGCTTATTTTTATTTCAGAATAATCCTTTGCTGTTTTCAGTCGTGATCAATGCTGTTGTAACTTAAGTAAATTTAACAAGGAGTACGAACTTGTTTATATACTTACAAGAGTATAATCAGTTAAGTAAAATGCAACTATATAAATAATATATTTTCAAAGCTTTCATCTCTTTATAATGAATCCGTATTGTAATATAACTCAAATACATATATATAAATTACTGAAATTTTAAACGTAAATAGCATAAATATGCACCGAATTTCGTGCGAATCCATTAAAAATATGAAGAATTATTATTGATTTCGCCAGAAATTTTATAAAAATGTATTATTTTGGTATGACATGAGCAATCTACCAAGAGGGTGCCATTCTGGAGGGATTTCTATGGAAAATTGGTCCCTGTTTAGGTGTTAGACACGTGAAGAAAATCCGGAAAACTTCACGAGGCCAGTCTTTGGTGAGGCACGAACCTGTGACCAACTACCAGTGTTCAATGGTTTACCAGCTCGACCACTAGTAGGCCTAAAAATATATGAAATTTCAACTAATAAATCGAATATCTATCTAATTTGATTTAAAATATTTACTGTAATTTATCAGAAACTATAACTCGAAAGGAAAACATTAAATAAATAAAGAAATCCAGAAATTAGAAAC